GAAGACTTTGTCTTGTGTCCGGATGGGACTCTCCTTTGCGTGGAAGGCAAGCTTGGCGATTCGGATGATAGATCTCCTTCTCTATAACCGACTTTGGGTAACCCTAGCCCCCTTCGATGTCTATATAAACCAGAGGGGTTAGTCCGTAGGACAAGAACAATCATAATCATAGGCTAGCTTCTAGGGTTTAGCCTCTACGATCTTGTGGTAGATCAACTCTTGTAATACTCATATCATCAAGATCAATCAAGCAGGAAGTAGGGTATTACCTCCATCGAGAGGGCCCGAACCTGGGTAAACATCGTGTCCCCAGTCTCCTGTTACCATCAGCTTTAGACGCACAGTTCGGGACCCCCTACCCGAGATCCGCCGGTTTTGACACCGACAGGGGGGATCGTAGTTGTTCTTCTTTTGTGGTTTGTCTCCCCAGCGGGGTAAGTCCATCCAAACGCGAGATAGCCACCCACCTAGCCATTGGACAGGCGTCCCACAGATTCTGTGACTCACGACATGTGATGGGGATAAAAACCCCTTTCATTCTACTATGAATGCAAAATCGATATCTTCAAGATATCACGTTGGGCACACCATTATTGTTCACCTTTAGCTCAAAATAAGAGCCAAAACTATCCAAATCCGCTGGAATTCCAATGAAGGCCTCACTTTCACAGACAAAAACAAGAGAGAGAAACAATAGAATTGGGAGTCAGATGAAAAAGTTGGATCTTGTAGAAATCCAGAACGGAGCAAAGAAATGGAGGTAGAGGAAAATTTACCCACAAAGAAGATGATTACTGAGAACCATCGCGCTCATATCCCCTGAGGCGAGAGGGACCTTTGTCAACAAATCGATTCCCAACTGAGATAAATCCCACTCTTGCCTCAACAAAATTAGTGATATATCCACGACGAACTAGAGACACACCAAAGGAGGGACGATGAAGAAGTGACAGTCATTCTTGCTGATGAAGATGGTTTCTCCGAAGAAGGCAACCCCAAAAGAGAACGAGGGGCCTTGGGAAGGAGCGTACGTGACCTTAGCGACTGCTAACAACCAGAGGCCAAGCTCTCGACACTGGAAGGGTTTTCAGAAGAGTCCAAATAAGAGGGAGATGCAAGCGGGTAAATTAGGTAAACATCGGAGCGTTGGAGGAAGAAACATGAAATGAACAATGACCGACTGGGGTGTCGGTATATGTATTGTGAAGAGCGACTTGGAAATCCAAATGATGTTTAGAGAAAGTGAAGAGGGACGTGCGACTTCCAAAAAACTATATCACCACCCATAATTCATCATAAGGAACCGCTCCTAGATGGGAAAACCCATAGAAACAAATAAACCTCCGTTACAGGATATGGTAAGTCCCGACAGTGTCGGTGAGAAGTGGTGTTAGGTCCACATCTAGTCATGCATGAGTCCGAAGGAATCTTCTTGAGGCTTCAAGGCTGACTTCAGCAAGAGTCCGCAACCAAAAAGGAAAGGCACAAAACAGGCACGACTTAGACCCCTCAAAGGAGGCAGGAGGAATCACGACAAAGGGAGGTCGAACCATCCGCGACCAGGAGACCTAGGAAGGAAGGCGCCACACCAACTAAAGCCGAGTATAAGTACCTACACATCAATATTGGCAGGAGAAAACTTCTACCCTGACATCAAGGATGCCGAAGACAATGACCTAGTTCTAGACCAAGATTAGGTCTGATCTTGCACACCCAATTGATATCGTCCACCAAATATCCCAACGACTTTGTGTACAAGTCACTGGACTCCCTCATTGTACTTCTATAATTTCATACGAAGTAGGATTAGGGTTGTTACTCGCATCACAGAGGCATGAACCTGGGTAAAATCTTCTCTACGTACGTCTAATAACTTGATGTTACGTTCCATTGTCACACAAATCCACTAACGTAATTGGGTCGTTGTTTGGTTACCTTGCAAATTAACGTCGTCTGGACGATTTAAAAGCATCTTCTAATATTTCCAATTGCGATTATAATGTGGATTAGAAGGTGGATCTTATGCATAGAGGGGCTATAGAAATGAAGACCTCCTTACCGATGAAGTGGAACAAACAACCTCCTTCTTGATGAAGTGGAACAAACAATCCTCTTCCTGATGTCTTCTCTCCTCCTTAAATAACTCAACCCCTCTGGACTAGGGTTTCGGGAGTCTTGTGAATTAGAGTGGCTCAGGGTCCCCTCATGAAAGCTCCTTGGTTTGACTCGAGGGAGTGGAACCTGTCTAGTACAATCACTCGTACGACCGAGTGCAGTCGTACCGATGCATGTCTTGTGTGATGGATTGGATGCTAGTGACGATCCACATATGGAAAATCCTCCATTTTCATAATGGGTCATGAATTTGTGTCCATTTCCCTCTTTTGTCCACTAGATCAGCAACATATGCCAGACCAAGGGGATTTACACATCTTGCATTTAAATAACGATTACTATGCATCTTGAAGTGATACTTCTAACAAAGACCTTAGTTATATCAATATTAATTTTTGTAAAATTTGAGTGTAAAATACATCCATCAATCATCAAAACAACAAACATCGAACAGTTGGTGGCCATGGCTGGTTGGATTGAGAGGGACATGTGCTACACCTCCGCTGCCACCGGACGAGCTCACAGCTGCCCCATGGATGAATGATCCGCAGCCGTACCCAGCTAGGCCAAGAAGGTCGTGGTTGTCACCTTCTATGCTACCTAAGCTACTCACTTTGGCATGCAATCGAAGGAATCACATCCACGACCACCCAGATCGAGATGGGAAAGATATCCACCTATGCGCTCAACCAGACTATATCACCGATGGGCCACCATCCGCCATGAGTGACACCCGCTAAACCTAGTCGGCGTCGCCCAAGTCCAACCACATCTACTCTGGGGATGTCACCTTCGGCTCATTAGCAATAACACTTCGAACACCACCCACGTGCACGTCGCCTGCATCGTCTAATTGACAATATGATGGTTGATTTAGATCAAAAGAAGGCATTGATAATGGAATTGAAAGTAGACAAATACAAAATTATGAACCGCAAAAGAAGGGATACTTATAAAGATTTGGGATTTTTGCAAGCCCGACGCCATGGAGAAATTTTTGTAATGGTGCCATGAATCCAATTCCCAGTGAAAGAATTGGTGATCCGCAAGAGCTTAATTACCAGTGCATGAGGAGGGGATCACACGTTTAATGGTTGTATGATTGCCATCCATGCAAGGGAGGTGGACAGATGAAATACAGGGCACACTAAATCGATCTATTAATTCCCATGCATGTGAGAGAGCGGGAGCGATATCCGAGGGATATTGTTGCAAAAGATTTTCTAGAGTAATTGCGAGTAAAGGGTATTAACGACTTAAGGTTGCCCTATTTCAAAACTCCCCTCTAATCTCGTGCTCGCTCCTTGGTTACGACAAAATAGCCGGCCGGTCTTAGATACCCGAACGAAAGGAGTACAATTTGTGTACGGACCTGATTGCTCCCACATGTTGTTTTTCTTTTTCTTAGACAAGGGAAATGCACTCATATTAGTTAAGACATACAAATATGGTTGCTCCAGATTTGGAAATAAGTTATTATATTAGATCCGATACGATCTAAAACTTGGTTAATATGTAAACAATCTTGAAGTATTTACATGCAAAAATGTTGAAAACTTTATTTGTAAAAATAATGTTTGTTCAATGACCTAGACAACTTGATTTATTCCCTCTAATCCATATTAATTGACGCTCTTTAGTGCTCTCTCCATTCTAAAATAAGCGTTTCAATTCTAACTTTGTATTAACTTTGAAGTTGAGAAACTTATTTTAGGAGCGAGGGAGTACATAGGTAAAGATAAAGGGAGTATAATGTTACATCGGAGAGAGTAGTAATTTTTTCTAAGATGATTATACTTCTAGTGACCCGCAAAAGAATTACTTCTACTGAACTTTATTTTTCTACTAATATACTCGTAGATCTGGAACCTCCTGAAAACTTCAGAAGGAGCCGTGCTATACACACGACAAATTCAGACGACTCATGCACGATAAACTAAATCCAGCCGGACATGCGTGCATGCATCGGGACATCTGCCGCTCGATTTCCTTGTCGTGCATACATCGGCCACAAGGATCGTGCATGAATCAGTTTCGGTGAGAGACGGCGGATTTCATCGTCTTGCCACCACGGATCCTCTACTCCACCACGATCTCGCCGCGACGATCTTCCGTCCACGTGGCCCCGCCGCAGAGAATCCCGTGCGCGTGCCGGCCGCCATTATTTTCTCCGACGTTAGGGTTAAAAGATTGCCCAGCTCAGCTGCCGCCTCCGTCAGTCAGCTGGTCAGAGCCCACCCCTGCCTGCTGCCCCCGCCCATGGCATTTCAGATCAGTCAAAACAGGAACCGATAGGAGGGTAGGCGGCCGCAAATTATCTTCTCCTCTCCTCTCCCACGCGGTCTCCTCCTCGCGGTCGCCGCTCGGGTCAGGCTGGTATCCTCCCTAAGCCAGCCGCCGGTCTCGCCGGCCTTCGCGGACCCAGCGCATTGCCGCCCCCGCTTTAAACTAGCCCCTTAATAAGCTGCCGTCTGCAGCGTCTCCAACCGTCCTCCGAGCAGGGGCAGCACGAGGAAGTCCTCCTCCCCTTTCTCCGGCTGCCACTTGGACGGCGAGCTGCTGGAGCTTTTCCACCTCCGGCCTGGTAAGATCCGACTTGGTTTGCCAGATTCTTCAGACAAAAACGCTTTCTTGGGGCCCCAGCTTCGCGGAACCGCATCCGGGACCGCGCATTTGCGGTTCTTGGCGGCGGCGCTGGTGCTGGCGCCCCTCTTTTAGGATTTATGCCGCGTCTGGGCTCAAGATTTGGGGGATTTCACACGTTGTATCTCCTTCCCCGATTTGGTAGCACTAGTTTTAACTGTCCGGGTGTTTGCAGCGGAAGGATTCAAACAGTGGACGGGCTACGGCAGCAAAGATTTGGAGAGCTGGGGGTGCGCACTGGGATGGCGTTTGCGGTCTCCGACGAGCTGCTGGGCACATTCGTGCCGATTGCGGTGTACTGGCTCTATTCGGGGCTGTACATCGTGATGGACAGGATGGAGATCGACGACTACCGGCTCCACCCCAAAGGGGAGGAGGAGGTGAAGAACGTCGTCTCCAAGTGGACGGTCGTCAAGGGCGTCCTCGTGCAGCAGGGGTTTCAGATTGCCGTCTCACTTCTCCTGTTCACGGTAAATAATCCTCTTGACATTATCATCTTACCATGGAAAGCTTGTTGATGTTGTTGAAGCCATGGTAGACTGATTCGATGTGCTGGTTTAGCTTCATAGGATGTCCACATACAGGGTGGTTAGAAAGATTATTGATCTATTTGGGTTAATATTCAGTTTAAATCAGCCACAGTGAACAATTTTGAAACATAGGCTTTGATTAAGTCTTTGACAGTTTCTGAATGATGGTTAAGCCAGCGAGTTCAAACCTTTCTGTTGAAAATAACAAGCAAGTTCAGGCCCTTCTACGGAATAGCTTGCTGTTGGCAGTTTTAGCATGAAAAATAGCTGAGTAGCAAACAGTCTAGTGTTGATATGGAGATTGAAAGCGAGTCTTAGATTAATTATGGACCACGAGGATGTAGTGCTGTTTTTGTCGATTGAATATGTATTAACTGTTAGCTCTCTTGTCAAGAGTCACAATGGTCGTATTCACATTGGGGAATTTATTTGAAGGCAGTAAAGTTGCTTCCCGTGATTTTATTGGTTGAAGTAGATCTTGAAAGACTTGAAACCAGTGTATGTTGTTGATTTAAAACTAAGGCTTAGATTTATTTTCTGGTCATTTTGCTGTTTGTTTTGTAGATGGATTAGTGAACTATGCACCTAGGCCTGGCTTGTTTCAAACATTTTAGTTCTTCATTTAATGAATTCCAGAACTTCTGGTCGTGCTTTCCAAAAGGAAATTGAGTCTTAAATAGTACGGATATATCTCCATTATCAGTTGAAGTTATTTTTCTCTCTTTGAACAAAGTCTGGCTTTTAACACTGATTTTAGAATTCCCTGATGAAATTTCATACGCGGGTACTGTACTAAGTCTGCAATGTGCTAAAATGCAGATAATTGGTGATGACAGTGGTACTGTGAGAAAGCAGCCTCCCGCCCTGGTGATAGCACTGCAATTTATCATCGCAATGTTTGTTATGGACACATGGCAGTACTTCATGCACAGATACATGCACATCAACAAGTTCTTGTACAAGCATATCCACTCGAAGCATCACACTCTTGTGGTTCCATACGCGTTTGGCGCTCTTTACAACCATCCCCTCGAGGGCCTCATTTTGGACACGATTGGTGGCGCCCTCTCGTTCCTCGTCGCCGGAATGACTCCTAGGACGTCCATATTCTTCTTCTCATTCGCAACCATCAAGACCGTCGATGATCACTGCGGCCTGTGGCTTCCTGGGAATATCCTCCACGTGCTGTTCAGCAACAACAGCGCTTACCATGACATCCACCACCAGCTCTACGGCAACAAGTACAACTTCTCGCAGCCGTTCTTCGTCATGTGGGACAAGATCCTCGGGACCTACATGCCATACACTCTGGAGGAACGCAAGGGAGGAGGTTTGGAGGCGCGCCCTGTTAATCTCGGCCTCGCAGTGCAGAGCAAGTCTGACTAAGTGGTTCGCTTTCTCCCAGTCTTCACTTACCCGGTGAAGAATGCTCTACCTGATCTTTTCTAACTACATTTGTGTTGTAGAATTCTTTTCCTGTCCATATAGATAAAGCATCTTGCTGGAATGCCGTTGTGTACCAAGGTATAGCAAATAAAACACTGTGTAAAGATGATCCACTCTGATTTGCTCATGTGGGTTGTGTGTGAGCCTCATGCTGATGGCCAAAGTGAGCTGGTATTATTAGCACTACATACATTATGCAGCAGTGCGTTGGCCCTCGCATTCTTAAAGCTTCTCTGTGCTGTCATGGACATTGTCTCTCTGACTAATGCTGATTTTAAAAGGAGCTGTTGTTAATTTCTGTATGGACCAGGCTGTCTGATGGACAGTGCCAGCCTGAAAAAACGTGATTAGGTTGTCTGCAAGGCTAGCATTTGGCAGCCATGAGCACACAGAGGTGACCTAAAAGAAGCAGAAAACCCACAGGAAAAAACAGCCTCCAAACTACTTCAGGGCACACACAGCAGTTTCTACTGCGGGCATGTGTATCTATGATATTTTTATGTTTGAATAACTGCACGCATGTGCTTAGTCAAATGAGTGCCATGTGCATTCAGTATTCCTTTGCTATTTCAGGTTGCTTGTTGGAGAGTAATAACAAATCTGGTTCCCCGTATTCTCGAGTGTACCGTTCAGTCACAAAAGAGTGCTGTTTTAGGTATACGTCAGTGAACATTTCTGAAGTCTTGCAAGTTGTAATCGATGTATATTTACAAATATTCAGGTGGTGATTTTCGTGCTTGTATTGGTCATTGGTGGGTGCAATACTGAGCAATATAAACACACACAAGTGCACCTTGAAACAAGATTATCTGTTTTCGCAACAACAAAATCTGAAAAAGCACATCGATGTGCTCCGTGTTAGTCATGTGCACCTACAAGAATTTGTGCCAAAATTGTTATTGCGTAGTACATAATGAGAAGATCACATGTGTGAAAATATTTACATCAATACATGAAAATGGTTCCTACTTCCTAAAGAATCTGTAGAAGATAACACTCTGGAAT